TCTTATAAGCAAAGCCTTTCTTGATCTAGGAAGCCCACCCAAAAATCTGAAGAAAATTAGATAGTTACTCTAAAATTAAAGTCACTGTAAGAATGACAGGAAAGACAAAAATTTAAGTTGTGAACAATTCACATATACATGGTATAAATGATGGGTCAAATTGACACAAATCAAAACATATAAGCATATCAGGGCATATTTAGGTCAATTAATATACGTTAAAATATACTATATGGTTCGGGGATTGTTTGTATCAATTAATACACACCAAAATATACTAGGTGATTCATGGATTATTCACATACACCTACTCTTAAGTGTTTTAATATCTAAAAAAATCATAATCAAATAGAAGCCGTCACTCATGTTTGCATACTAAAACCACTAAGCCGCACTTGCTACAATGTAACAATAAAAGTATCATCATTGGAAGCCATGATTATGGGAGATTTCCTAAAGTGTCTGACGTGAAGCCAAAAGTTCTTAGTTCATGGTTTGCTTGGTTTCTTTCTAGCTTTGTGACTTTAGGCAAATCATTTGTCTTTCCCAGTGCAGTGCTTGAAACATAGTAGACCAGACACGCAGTTAGTGGTTCTCAGACCCTCAGCCTTTCCACTTGATCATGAGAGGTTGTTAGTTATGAGCTAGGTCTCTGTTAATACCCCCTTGGGTGTCCTTGCTGTGAATTAAACAGTAAATCAGATACTGTCATCCCCGGTAGAACCCTACAACTGCTCCGTCCAATACTGTAGCCACTGGCCACAAGTGACTACTAAGCATTTGCAACGTGGTTGATCTCAATGGAAGTGTACTGCAAGTGTAACTTGTACACCAGGTTTCAAAGATACAGCACCAAAAAAAGAATGTAAAACATGTCAGAATGGGAATCAATCACAGACAGAAATGACATTTGGGATACATTGGGTTAGGTAAGATGTATTATAAATAGTTTACCTGTTTCCTTCTACTTTTTTAAAATGTGGCTATTATAAATTTTTAAATTATATACTTGGCACACACTATGCCTCACTGGAAAGTACTGATCTATAATTCCCCACTGTTCTCAGAAAAGAATTTGGCCTCTGTAGCAGGGTGTGATCCAGTCACTGCCTACTTCCCTGGTCCCCTTATGCTTTCCCCCTGTCCCTCATTACCCTCCAGCCACAGAAACTTTATGATCTCTCATAAGGGGATCATAGAAAGGGACACAGAAAGCCTGTACCCACCTTAGGGTCTTTGCACTCATGATTCCATTCTTGTGAAATGTTCTTTCCATGGCAACTCTACTCATAGCTGACTCATTCTCCCTCTTCAGGTCCTCAGCTCATATGACCTCTTTAGTCAAGCTTTCTGGACTACCTGATGTGAATGGACCACATATCCAGTGAATCTCTGCTCCCTTTACTTCCTCTAAGGCACTCACTTCCATCCTCCATATCCTTATCTAATTATCTGTTCACCTATTTAATGCCTGTCTCCCTCCACTAGAATAGAAGCTGTGTGAAGACAGGAAGCTTTCCAGTCTTATTCATGGTCTATCATAGCCTCAGCTCAGGGTCTCCTAACCCACTATAGTTCTCAGTTCAATGTTTGTTGAATGAGTGAATGAATGAATGAATGAACAAACAGTGAAAAGGGCATGAAAAGGAGTCAAAAGTCCCAGTTAGGACAAACCCATTGATAATGACAATGACAACAATACCATCTTCCTTCAAGTGCTTACTTTTCTCCCTATAGTCAATCCTTAAGATTCATTTGGGAGGTAGTATGGTATAATAGCCACTTACTGGCTGTGTGACCTTGGATAGAGCCCTAGACTGTTCCCAAATCTCCACCTTCTCCCAGAAAAATAATTAGAATTATTATGGAATAATTAGAATTATCCTGTGATGTCTTGACATTCAATTAAAAGAAGAAGAAGAAGAAGAAGAAGAAGAAGAAGAAGAAGAAGAAGAAGAAGAAGAAGCAGCCCAGAGGGCCCCAGTGACATTTATTAGACCAAGACATTCCTTAAGGGAAATGATTCCTTTATTTACCTGAGGGGGCCCCCAGCACCCAAGACTCTGACTACAGGTCCCCTGGAACATCTGGCTCAAGAGTAGGGTTCAAAGAGTCAGCATCTTTAGCCAGGAAAAGAATAAGTACTAGCAGGGACTGGGGGGTGCCTTTCTGCCCACAATAGGTTATTCTCCAGAAAAAAAGAGACTGGGCCACCCCAAGCAGTAGCTCCTGATTCTCATGTTCTGAAAAGAGTCACTATATCTGCCTCCTTAATTGACACTGGGGCCAAGGGTAACAATAAGGAGGGGAAGGAGGTCATGAGTTTCAAGCTATACGATGTTAAAGTCAATAAAATTAGAATTATTCCATGGAACCATAATTTCTCAAGATGGGGCAAGAAGGGTGGCTGGAAAAGGAGTGAGAAATGACTTCACTGGGAAGGCTTCTGCGCAGTTTGCAAGGGATAAAGCACATCTTTGTTATTCTCCTGGCTTCTGTTCCTATACCTCTGAAATATGAATGCTACTGGCATGACATCCCAGTTCATCACCATTGTTCCAAGGGTTTGCTACTGAATGGGCTATTCACATGGAAACCTCTTCGAGGCCAGGCTTCTGTTGGCCACAGTTTATTTACACCCTGGTTTAATGTGCAGCACACCTTGGAAGTTTGGACAAACTAGACCACGGTACAGCACTGCACCATCTCTTCCTAGTCCTGCCTGCCTGCTCACTGCTGATTAAAAGCCAGAACCCCACCCTCATTCATTCAGCACACAGGTTCTAAGTGTCTATCACATGGGAGGTGTTGGGGCTATAGCTGGGAGCAAGCAAAACAAACGCCAATGACAGCAGATCCATGAAAGAAGAAAAGGGGAATCACAACTGGAAAGCCCTTTCCAGGAATGTGAAAAAAAGGAATCAAAATTTGGGTTCATTGATCAAGAGTTGGGATTGCTGGGGATGATGGTGTGTCAAGAACTGGGGATCTCTGGGTGACTCAGCAGTTGAGCGCCTGCCTTCAGCCTGGGGCGTGATCCTGGAGTCCCAGGATCGAGTCCCATGTTGGGCTCCCTACATGGAGCCTGCTTCTCTCTCGGCCTGTGTCTCTGCCTCTCTCTCTCTGTGTCTCTCATGAATAAATAAACATAATCTTTAAAAAAAAATGGAGGAGGCTTTAAGAAGGAAAGTACCTCTGATAAGAGATGGAGTCCTAGAGGGACACCTGGGTGGTTCAGTGGTGGAGAGTCTGCCTTCGGCTCAGGGAGTGATCCTGGAGTTCTGGGATTGAGTCCCACATCGGGCTCCTTGCAGGGAGCCTGCTTCTCCCTCTGCGTGTGTCTCTGTCTCCCTCTCTCTCTGTCTGTCTCTGTGTCTCTCATGAATAAGTAAATAAAATCTTTTAAAAAGAGAGAGGAAGGAAGCCCTAGAATGTGGCCTGCAGTTCCTCCATCCCCCCAAATCAGTCACATGAAGTACTCTGGGACCTCTCCCCTCCTTCAGTCTCCCTGCAACCTAGTTTTATGGTAGGCCCCCTGACCCCTGCTTTCTGGCAGGGGATGCTGCCAACATGAGTTTTAGGACCAAAAACCTCAGGAGAGAGCAATATTCCCCCAGGATAAAAAGTGGGGTTTGGTTCTCCGCCCAGGCAGGGAAAAGCACCCCTGGGGACCTCACGTCTGGCTCAACAGAGACATCGCTGTGTAGGCATACAACACTGTGAAGGTAGATCTTGCTGAGACTGTCTTAGGGGACTTGTTATGTGAGGTGTTGTCAGACCCTTCACCCCAAGGAGGTGAAAAATCCACAGATGGAATCCCGCTTGTCCAGATCTCGACAGCCTCATCTATCGGGTTTAACCAGAATTTCCTGGCTTATGGCTTCTTGTAATGTTGTGCCTCTTCTCCCTGGGGAAGTTCTCACTCTCATCCACGAACTAAGATTGATTGATTGATTGAAAGATTTTATTTATTTATTCATGAGAAACACACACAGACACACACAGACAGAGAGAGAGAGGCAGAGACACAGGCAGAGGGAGAAGCAGGCTCCATGCAGGGAGCCTGACGTGGGACTCGATCCCGGGCCTCCAGGATCATGCCCTGGAACAAAGGCAGATGCTCAACCGCTGAGCCACCCAGGCTGCCCCGAACGAAGATTTAAAGCCTTGCTGAAGAGCTCAACTTTGGACCAGTTACCCTCTCTGAGCCTAAATCCTCACGTGCCAAATGCAATGGAGCATCATCATCATCATCATCATCAGGGTCCTAGCAACACCGGAGGTCATTATGCAACTGGAGAGAAGACGCATATCTCAGCGCTTAAAAAACCAGGACTGTGTTCTCCTCGCGAGGCAGATCAATAATCCACAAGTATTAATTAATTTAAAAAAAAAAAAAAGATCCTAAGTCAGTGGACTCTGCCCTCCTGGCTGGTGACCGGAGGACCTGGTCGGTGCGGGCTGCACAGCACCTGCCTCCTCCTCCCCCTCGCCCCCCCCCCCCCCCCCGCCCAGGACAAGGCAGAAAGAGTGGGAAGGGGAACGCGGCTCAGCGTTTATTTTTGGAGCCCGCTCACTAAAAATACCCCCGCCTTCCCGTCTGATCACTCTCCCTTTTGACCTGAATGGATGGCGGGAGCCCGGCGGGCCTCCCCACCCTCTGCCCGGTGTCCTTTAAAGGGGAAGGGCGGGGGCGCGGATTCCTGCGGCTCCCTCGACGGGCGCAGGCGACCCGCAGCCGCGCGGGCCGCACCGGGCAGGGCAGGGCAGGGCAGGGCAGGGCAGGGCAGGGCAGGGGCCGCACTGACGTCAGGGCAGCGCTCGCGCCGCCGCGGCCGCCCGGCCCGGACCACGCCCCCGGGGCGGAGAGCCGCGCGCTGCCATTGGCCGGCCGAGCGCGAGCGCCCGCGACGATTGGCTGGCGCCGTTTGCGAGGGAGTCCCGCTCTCCAATTAAAGGGCCCCGCGGCGCCGGCTGCGCGCAGAGCTCCCCCTGGGCGCGCGAACTCGGCCCGAGCCCGCGCTGTCCCCGCGCTGTCCCCGCGCTGTCCCCGCGCTGTCCCGCCGCGCGCCCTCGCGCCCCTGCCCGAGAAGCCGGGCGCTCGCCGCTGCTGCCCCACGGGAGATGGCGAAGGTGGCCAAGGACCTCAACCCGGGAGTTCAGAAGGTGAGCTGCGCCCTGTCTGTATCGCCCACGTCCTTGCTTTTCCCCGCGTCCCTCCCGCAGGCCCGGCCGCGACTTACCTAGACGTAGGGAGCAGGAAACGCGCTAAATTCCAAGACTTCCCGAGAAAACAGAACAGTTGGGAATACAGAGTTGAGCGAGCTAACAGGCGCACCCACCCCGACACTTACTCTTAAACGCCCTTGTGTAGAATTTGCAAAGGATCTCAGTGCTGCCGTGATGCTAATTACAATGTTGTTTGAATTTTCTTTTTGCGCTTGTTTTTATTGAAGTCCAATTTGCCAACATACAGTATAACACCCCGTGCTCATCCCGCCAGGTGCCCTCCTTCCTCGGTGCCAGCCACCCAGCTGCCCCTTTCCCCCTTCCCCACACCTCCCCTTTTCCCAACCCTTTGTTTGTTTCCCAGAGTTAGGAGTCGCTCATGGTTTGCCCCCCTCTCTAATTACAATTTACATAAAGTAAAACTATTAAAGAAAATAGTAATCCTGTTGTCTGTAGGGAGAGAAAAAAAAAAAAAGCTCCCTTCTCTTCCTTCCCCCTCCCAGGATTGAGGTGGAGAGTAAATATTTACTCACAAGGAATCTCCCCTCTTGCTGTCATCCTGTTTTGTATTTTGCACTCTCTCTCTCTCTCTCTATCTCTCTCACACACACACACACGCACACGCACATGCACACACACACCAGTCTCTTTAGTTGGTGATGTTGGCCATGGCAGCAGTTCCAGCACGAGGGAACTAATTTCTGTCCCCAGGGTCTGCACGTTTCCCTTTCAGGAAGGGCTGGCCAGGAGCCCAGAAGGTCATGGGTGAATTACTGCAGGAGGGGGCTGTGGCTTCAACACCCACCCACTACTTACCTTGATGCAGTCAGGAGAGGGCACAGGCCAGAGGCATAGAGGACAAGTGAGCTGGAAGGGAGCAGAGACACAGACAGTCTAAGCCAATGGAGAAACTGAAGCCCAGGGTTAGAGAGAGCCCAGAAGACCACAGAGATTATTAAGGGAAGCCTTGGGCACGGAAACCCTGGCCCTGCCACTTTTTAGCTGCACTCTTTTGACCAATTCACTTTTCTGTGCCTCCGTTTCCTTGTCTCCAGTTCTAGGGATGATAGATCGCTCTTTTCTCCAGCAGCACTAGCAACGATAGTGAGCCGGATTGGATTAATCTCCCAAAGCAGTCATTTTTAGACTCTTGCAGGGCAAAGTCCTCCTGAGACCTCTGCCATTACCTGTGGAGTAGAATGAGAGGAAAACAAACAAACAAACAAACAAAAAGGAATAAAGAAAATAACAAAACCCAAACATATGTCAGAATCAAAATAAAAGTGCAAGCCATGTAACTTTGAGGCACGAGTTCATGCATCTGATTTATAGCTGCACGTTACACAGCTGACTTTCCCCAGACTCCCACACAGGGTCCAGTGTACCCTTCTGAATGTGTACACCAAGTCAGACTTAATCAGGGCATCTCTCTGGAATGTACCGTGTCCCATCACATTTGCCAGGCTATTTGGAGAATCAAGTTCTCTCTCCTTCTATGGAATTCGTACACTTTAGACCTTGGTATGATACCTGTTAATTTCCACCTAGGGGCAAGTCATGCGTGCACTGCTTTTGTTTCTCTACACATCTTTCTGAACCCCTTGTAGACAAACCTTTCTGGTTCATCTCTGTTCCAACACAGCATACCGTACACAGCAGGACTCAATAAACTACCAGGGAACCACTGAATATCCGTCCAGCTAAGACCTTAGTGTTCGCGGACAGTACATTTTGTACATGAATGTTTTTTAACTTGTCATAGCACGAGGATATTTGTGTGTCTGAACTGCCTCCCCAAATTAAACTGAGGTAAAAGAGTTTGGAGGTAAAGGGGCAAAACCCCACTGTCCTCTAGAAAGTCAGATGATTTGGGGGTGGTTTTACTACAAACTGATTGATAGATAATGTGTGAAGTAAGACTCAGTACATGGAAACCCTCCTTCTTACTGAAAGCCAAAGCCACCACTTGGAGGAAGCCTTGTTTTTATTTTCCTTTGCATCGGAGACTGTGATTATCGGGATTAGAGGTGGAACATGTTCTCCTTCTTGTCACCCTCCAGTGCCAACTTCCTTGGCCTGCAAAAGGTTTATTTTCCATTTAGATCCAATTACAGGCTTAAAGAAAGAATGTAGTGGGTAGAGATGAAAGGGTGTAATTCTTTTTTTTTTTTTTTTTTTTTTTTTACTTCTTGGGACTGTGGCAGTGAGGAGGACAGTCATCACTATGTAGATTAACCAATGTCTTCAACTCAAAAAGTCAAGGCAAAGGATGAGAGTGGGGGAGAAGCTCTCCTTGCTTAACATTATAATAGTGATTGAACACCGTGTCATACCCAACAACATTCTAAAAAGCTTTTATTCCATATTTACTCTTTAAATCTACAGCAGTGGGGGGATTTTATAACATTTGGCTTCAGGATACATAATCACACTTAGGCATTTTGAAACAATTTCATAGACTCTTGGAGCGACAAGGGACCTATTTACAAAATGAGAAATGGTTTAAAATGGCATACAGACTGTCTCTACTGCCCTACCTCCAAGGGGAAGTGTGGTAGGGGGAATCCCTAGCAGCTGGAAGTTATAAAAGGTCTTCAAGAGAACATAAAATCCAAAACCTGGAGTAGCCTTAGAAATTGTCTAACCAATCCCAGACAGACTGAGATCACATACCTAGTTAGTGGCAGAGCTTAAAAACATTACCAGCCTCCTCTCATCTGTGCTAAGTTAAATGCTCCCAATGGCTGCTCTTAAGCCATCATTTGTTTTTCTATTGGGAAAGGCTTCCTAGCACAGAGAGTTCCCTGAGAATAGTCAACATTCCTTGGTAATAAAGGGCCTGAAAGGCCACATGCCATTTCTTTTGGTGGAATCAACTACTACTGCGTTGTGTTCTTCTGTAGTGTTTATTAAGCATATTTAGGAGTACTGGTACTACTATCAAAATAGTGTTTGAACCAAGAGGTTCATACCCTATCCTAGTAACTCTACCACTTACTACCTGTGTGCTCTTGTGTATTAGCTAATTAACTTTTGAGTCTCTCCTTATCTGAAAATTGGAGAGACAGTAGCAGCATCTACCTCCCAAGGTATCTGTGATCATTAAATGAGATAGTACATATAAAGAGCTCAGCCCAGAAGCTCTCAAATAGTTAGTTGTTATTGTTGTTGCTGTTATTATTATTATTGGTGGCAATGGCAATGGTATATATTATGATGGGTGTGTGAACGCTGAAAGGAGTCTTTTGGTGAATGAAGGACACACTTTCCTTTATGACTATCCTATCTGAAGAGCAACTAATTTCCATTCAGCTGAACCAAAGCCAGTTGCTCCGTCTTGATGAGCTGAACATTGGTCTTATCTTCATTCTACCCAAACAGATACAAAATCTGCTCACATGGAAGAGATTACCAGTCATTTCACTCTGGAGTCAGTTTTAGGCCTGGAGGGGGCATGGAGCTCTTGTCACTTTTTAAGCAAGGATACTGAGGCCCAGAGGGGTCAAGCTCCTCATCTGAGATTGCCAAAATGTGCTGAAGCCCATTAGGCTCTGCGGCAATACAGCCCTGTTGGCTGCCAAAGAGCCACTTGCAGGAATTTAGAAAGGACTAGAACCAAGAGATCTAAGAGCATGTTCACTGTTGACTGCATGTGTGCCAGTGGCCTGGCTCCAAAAGGTCTGTTTTTCACCCCTCAACTCAGTGTCAAAGGAGCATTACATGATGGTTCTAAGTGCATTGCCAGATTCAGCTGGGTGTCTCCCCACACCCTTCTCTGCCTACCCTCCCTCTTGACTTTCCTGTCCTCAGCCCTTCCTGCCTTCACCTCCAGTTCCTGCAGCATGCAAAACTGCTGGCACATTGCCTCAGAGAGCCGATCCAATGTAAACACGGCTCCTCGAGAATGTCGTTGGCTCCCTCAATCTTAAAAATATATTAAGCTGTCATTTAAAGGCCTTCATAGCCAATGCATTGGAGACATGCCCATAGGTGTAGAAGGACGTTGGCCCGAGAGAGCCTTATCGTGAAAGAAAGAAAGAAAGAAAGAAAGAAAGAAAGAAAGAAAGAAAGAAAGAAAGAAAGAAAGAAAGAAAGAAAGAAATTATCCAAGTTCTTAAAGGATCTCTGAAAACAGATGCTGAAGCCATTACTTTGTAAATTACAGATGCTTGTCATGTTGTGCAGACATGTGTGAATATGTGGGGTTAGGGGCTGATGAGTGGCTTTCACCAGTGCGTCCACCTCCTGGGACGATAGGAGGCAGGGAAAGCCCTAATCACAGACCATCTCTAGGCTTTCCTCTCGGCCATCTAGGCTCCAGGACCTTCTCCTAGCCAGGGTTTACACACCACTCTATAAGCAGGACAGTGGGAAAAGGACTTTTGTATTTTCCTCTGAAGATCCTATAGTTTGATCTTCTCAGTAATATTAACTGGCCAAAGGTAACAAGGAAGAAAAAGAATAGGCTGAGTCCAGCAAAAGCTGGGGACCAGGAAGGAGGGACAGTGTCACAGGCTCACATGTGCATCTTACTTTCCTACCTCCATGTCCGCCACTCCTGGTGAGGAAAGGGTAAGGACCAGAGACGTGAGGGAATAATTCCTCCTTCAACCCACTGGAGTCAGCAGGGCTCCAGAAGAGGTATTTGATTTGACCTTGGAAAGGAGAATCATTTTTTCATTCCAGCTTGCACATTCAAAATAGCGTGTGAATAATAATATGGAAATCTATCATGATGAGTATTGACCTTGGGAATTCTTATCTCCCCAGTGTTCATCCAACACCATTTAAACATTTATTATGAGAAAGGTTTTCTGGCAGTGGTTGAGTCATTATAATAACTGTTGGCATTTCTTTACCAGGTGACTTTGAATAGGTCACTTTTCCTAGGAAATAGCAGACCTTGACTGAGAACCTGTCTTCCTTTTCCCTCCAGT